TGTTTGCAAGCGCAAACTTGAATTTATTGTACAAGTTATTTTTTTATGTAAATATCACCTCACGTCTGGTGAGAATTGTATGTGGAATAGATACAATCACAAGATCCAGAATTAATTCAGTGGTAGAAATCGTTCATGGAATAAACGAGCAAAAAATGGGAATGTATACGTGGTATTATTAAATCCCAGACGTAATTGTACCTCGAAAACGGGAGACGACTGATAACATTTGACCCCGAAAGATGACGTGAGCAGGCGAGAGAGCTCTCCGCGGCTTGGGATACATTGTACCGCACCCACAACGCGTGACAGGGCTGTAAACAGAACTGCTCGCTGAGAACTACACTTTTCCAAGTCGTCTCTATTTACGATTCAATGTGAGAACAGATGGAGACACGAACAAGTGTAACTGGCTTACAACTGATGTATCTCGGCCTGGCTAACCCACGCGAGATGTAACGAGATGTAACGAGACATCGCGTAGACGTAAGTCTATTTGTGATGTGAGTCTTGGTTGATCCAGGTCTATTACAATCATTGATTTCATACGTCTACCTGTAATGTTTTCCCATAACATCATCTTACGTCGTATGTGATACGCTGTGTACGCGAGATGCTTGTCGAGCGCCGATTTCCCCTGCGATATACGATATCGGGTCTACAGAAGGTATACGCTCGTTACACTGCAGGAAGATCGCTGTCATTGAGATTAAACACGTCTAGATACTTATGTAGTACCCGCGGCTGTCTGCTGGAACACAACATACAGATATTCAAGTTAAAAGAATTCGTGACATTAATGTTTAAGGATTCCGTGTTGTATTTTGTATTTTTTGTATTATATCTACAACACAGGAATGTGATTGTTATAATTCGACGACGGGTAATGAGTGAGTGAGTGAGTGAGTGAGTGAATGAGTGAGTGAGTGCGTGAGTTAGTGGGTGAGTGAGTGAGTGAGTGAGTGAGTGAGTGAGTGAGTGAGTATGGTTTTAACCACTAAAGAAGGGGGCGTATAGTTAAAGTCGTAAAGAAATGATACGTAAAGAAGGATGTGCTAGTTAGAGTCGTGAAGAAGGGAGACGTAAAGAAGAGGGCGCATAGTTAGGGACGTAAAGAAGGGGACGTAAAGAAGGGCACGTAAAGAAGGGGGCGTATAGTAAGGGTCGTAAAGAAGGGAGAGGTAAAGAATTAGGCGTATAGTTAGGGACGTAAAGAAGGGGACGTAAAGAAGGGCACGTAAAGAAGGGCACGTAAAGAAGGGGGCGTATAGTAAGGGTCGTAAAGAAGGGAGAGGTAAAGAAGGGGGCGTATAGTTAGTGACGTAATGAAGGGGGCGTATAGTTAGTGACGTAATGAAGGGGGCGTATAGTTAGTGACGTAAAGAAGGGGGCGTATAGTTAGTGACGTAAAGAAGGGAGACGTGAGAAGACAATATGTCACTGCTTGTAAGGCGCGGTCCGGGAACAAGGACAATTGCTAACAACGTGGAAATCAGACACCATTCACATCAGCACCAAAACCCCGACCGCAGTTTATCATGTTGTGTCGTCACGTGACAGTCACATGATGGAGAGAATGCAGCTCCGACTTGAAATTCCTCTGAAGAGAAAACTCATATCTTGCACCACAAACTCAGAGGTGAACGAATGACATGGGTGCAGAGACATGTTTGGATCGAATAAAAACACATTTCGTATCTAATCACGTATAAAATAACTGTTTCAATCTTCCTCCTCCGTCCAAATATTATCCCCGACAATCTGAAAATATCAGTGTAGTATCCTGTCAGCCGGACTTATCGTGAGGTCCCACTACCGTGCCCAGCGCCCCAAGGGAGTCACCACCAATGAGGTTGGGTCGTATCTTAACCACAGACGAAATATGTCGACGATAGAACGGCCCCCAGGCCTTGCGGCAGATCATCTACTAATTTGAAAAGGACTGCTTTCCCATCAATTATCTAATATTCTGCATCGCCATTACCTTGGCACCAAGCCTGCAGACATTCCGCCAGATACCAATCTTAGGCCACAGTTTAGAAAATTAAAGTTCGCTGCCCTCTAATAAACCGTTCCGGGTTTTGACTCTACCCATTACGCCGCCATGTTTACGAGCCCTGGTTGCCATTAGCAACCACATCATTAGAGAGTGTTGATGGTGTGTGATTTATAACAAGAGCGTTGACGTCAGCGCGGGGGAGGGGTAAACACCTCTTTGTTGTTTCAATGTTAAAGTATATACCCGTGATACGTATAAGTCAGACCACTCGCATCCGATGTTTAATCGTTGAAATTGTTGAAATGGTTTCACCGACCATTTCATCGAATAAACATCGGAATCCGAGCGGTTTAACCTTTTTAAACCGTGGCCAACATTCATAGCACCTAAAATGCTTTAAAACGTTGTTTTGTTGAGGTATTTGAGAGATAGCCAAGATCGAACGACATGCTTTACTGTGAGAACACTAATAGTTGCCCGTTTGAGTTCCCCTGCGTGATGGGGCGGTCGGGTAGTCTAGTGGTTAAAGCGTTAGCTCGTCACGCCGAAGACCCGGGTTCGATTCCCGACATGGGTACAATGTGTGAAGCCCATTTCTGGTGTCCCCCGCCGTGATATTGCTCGAATATTGCTAAAAGCGGCGTAAAACCATACTCACTAACTCACTCACTCACTCACTCACTCCCCTGCGTGATGCCCCTCGTTCATTTTGGACCAACGCGAGCACATTTCTCAATCTCCTAAATATCACTTGCCCATGCTGATGGAAGAAACATAGCCCTGATCAAGATACCATTTACTTCATTTCTGTCTGTTCGTTTCGTTGAACGAAAAGCTACAACATACCACGTACTAGTCGGTGTCATTCTTTTCGTGTTATTTCTGAAATATCCCGTGTTTTAAGCTGACTTGTGACTGGAAGGAAACGCCGTATTTCTGTCCGTTGAAAAGTTTGAGTAGATGTCTGTTTTAACACAGCGAGAGGGCATCAAGACAGTTTCATTAACTGTACCAGTTGTCGCCATCGTTTAAACAGCACGTGCCACGTGATCACTCGCAGCGCTTCAGTTTTACAAATTGCATCTTTTTTAATCTCTGGTATTGCACTCAATTATTTTATTGATTAAAACTAATAAGAAATGATTTGTCGTCGACTTGGAATCATATTTTTGTTTCGCCCAAATTTAGTTCCCACCCGGAAACATATCAGGATTAAATACATAAAATTGCAGTGAAAATGTTCCGACCCTGCAGTGAAAAGACCCGGTTGACCCGAACAAATGTTTGGGTGTGTTTATGAATGATGTTACTGTATATTGTTATTGTGCAACACGAAATATATGAATACTAAGACATACAATCGCATACAAATAAACATGATCTAAAGAGAAACAAAAGAATATGATGAAAAAGGAAAGCATGAACCAAATACCGATAGTTAATTGATGATGAAGGAGAATGAAAACATGTAATTATGAACCAAACGGATAGAATGGAGAGCCCAAAACGCAACCGAAATCGGAAGTACTGCTCCACGAGAATTGAAATAAGTTAAACAAAAAAGCAATCGCCAGTGAATACTACAGCTGTCAGGGTATCCTGAAGACTTTACAGAAAATGAGAAAAGGAATCTTTATGCTCCATGGTAACAGAGGTATATAAAAGAGATGTTTTTTTAATGAATTTGTTTTTGGTTTTTTTAAATGTAACGGAAATATCAAATAGGAATTTTCACCCATAGAGCATTTGCTCCGACAAACACATGGCAAGTATTTTGTTCCCTGCTTAAAATTATTGTACCCTTTCTCTCTTGGATGTTAGAATTGTAGTTTTGGGAAGAAATGACAGACAGATGGTAAGCAATGACGTGTTGTGTTTGCGCGAGGACGTCACGTCACACCACCCGCGTGTCTTTTCTGAAGTTGTATTTGAGCATGGTGCTAATATGGTGTGTTTTTCATACTTCCTTACAGGTGTCAGTATTGTTTATCATTTTCAGATAAATATTTCCCCCTTCAAACGGAAATCACCTCATAAAACGTCGTACGTTATATCTAGGACTTGAACAAAGAATCATAGTCGGAGATGAATTGTCAGTTCACATACAACTATTGCACATATTTCCGTGACGTCAAAACTACGTCATCTGCGTTCTATTTTAATTATGTGCCCCTGTTGTGTTTTCCGTGTGTTGTCAGGGGTACCTATAGCGCATGTCTTCTCAAGACTAACTGCAAACTGGAAAAATAATGATAAGCATGTTGATGAATTGCTGAAATGTACGTCGTCGAGGAACGCTGGAGGCAGACTGACGAACATTTGAGTACAACAGTATGATACAACAGAAAGGCAGGAGTATTGCCCGGTGTGTTGTAACACGTGTTTGGTCACTGAACAGTATGGTACACAGTTATACAGAATAAAGAAACTATCGTTATTTATTGACGTTAACATATATATATGTATATGTTCTGCATTATAAATAAGCAAAGCAAAACGTCACTATATATGCAATTGCAAGAGAAGGGTTAATCTTTACGAATGGGGGCGGTCGGGTAGCCTAGTGGTTAAAGCGTTCGCTCGTCAAGCAGAAGACCCGGGTTTGATTCCCGACATGGGTACAATGTGTGAAGCCCGTTTCTGGTGTCCCCCGCGGTGATAGAACCTCGCTCCCTCACTCACTCCCTCCCTCCCTCCCTCCCCCTTCCCGCACTCACTCACTCACTCACTCACCATTACGAATGGTCATTGCAAAAAAACATAGCAACCATAAACAGCAAACATTTCCCCGAGTATATTCCAGGACAAAACACACAACTAGCACAGCCCCTACAGGATTTTTTTTTTTTATTCAAGAGAGGAACATATTTCCGTGTTATCGTGAGCAATAATATTTTTGTTGTACCGTTGATTTCGTTAATGACTGTTCTCTAGGGTTAACTAAGAATAGCCCGGAAGTTTGCTGACAGATTGTGAAGGACATTATATTTTCTTCTTTCAGACAGCGCGGAGCAGACAGAGGGAGTAGCGTTCAGGGCCTTGCCGGACAGCCTATTCCTTTCAAAATTAATCAACTTCCTGTCACGTGATTTTGACGCACAGCCATCATTATCAAAACGAGGCTTGGGACATTGTATCAACAACTGTATGCGCGGCCGCGGAGGAATGAACTTCATACAATGCAAGTCTATGTGCCACTGGTAAGTAACAGGTGCCCTTTGTGACGTCATGGCCGATGTTCGCACTGGAAGAATGATCGATATATAGATTGAATATATTTACTTGACATGATCGATATATAAATTGACAATATTTACTTGAAATGATCGACATATAATTTAGATTTGAATATTCACTTGAAATGATCGGTATGTACATGTAGATTACAAATATTCACTTGAAATAATCGATGTATGGAGTTTTGTTTCTTTGCTGCTCACCCCCACAACCCTAGTATATATCAAATTTTCAGCTTTATAGGTAACGACCTCTAAATAATCGAATCTCGATCACACAAACCAGTGATTGATATAATGAGCAATTATCCACGATGTCGGGTGCGATGAAATAAGTCACCGAGGCTGACCATCTGATTAGTAAAACATCAAGCGACCAACATGGGTTCGAACCCGGAACCCCGAATATAAAGAGACAGATAAATCTGAGTGAGTGAGTGAGTGAGTATGGTTTTACGCCGCTTTTAGCAATATTCCAGCAATATCACGGCGGGGGACACCAGAAATGGGCTTCAAACATTGTACCCATGTCGGGAATCGAACCCGGGTCTATGGCGTGACGAGCGAACGCTTTAACCACTAGGCTACCCGACCGCCCCAGATAAATCTGAAATCGACGGATAGACAAATACTAGATGCACAGAAAGACAGAGACAGATAGATACAGAGATTGATGGATGTATAAAAAATAAATATAAAGGCAGAAAGACCTACACAGAAATAGATACACTCGGTGGTATTTGGTTAAAACACACTTCAAGGACGAGACGATCTTCTTGCAATTAAACTCACAATGGACGCACTCTCAATGAAATGTGACAATATCTCAGTAACAGACTGCTTTATAACGCGAACAACATTTGTTATAGCGTAATCGCACAAAGCTTTGCTCTTACGTTTTTGTCTTGACTGTGTTTATTGTAACAATATCACGATTGTATATAGGATTACATCTTTGTTCATTTCAAATGTCAAAGAAGGCAATCGGAGCTACTTATAAAAATCATAAGCACTTTCGATGAACAGATATTATACGTTTCTCAAACTTTTGAATTTAGAATTTATGTGTTTCGTGTTTTATCTTAAATGTTATTACAATCTATTTATATCTGATGTAATTGCTGTTAGAACATTACCAGGGTTTCAGTCATTATCGTAAGGAGAACATTTGCCAATAGGTCGCGTTACCCATGTCAGAAAAAAACCAAAGATAATATAATGCGTGATTATTTCGAAACATATATAAGCACTATCATGCATCAAATAAATGTGAATATTAGACATATATAGATGATAATGTGCCAACACTTTTGTGAGTACATACATGTACAAGAATATTTAGCCATACATGTCCTCACAGTATGCAGACACTTTCATGGATGATATATACACGTGAATATTAGACATGTTGTAACCTACGGTTATAACGAACTCAAAGGGACCACCAATTTTACTTCATTATAACCGTAGTTCGTTATGAGCAAATGTACGGAATACATACATCAAATGCCCATGACCAATAAAACAGTTCGCTATATCCGTCAGTTCGTTATAAGCGTGTTCGTTATAAACGTAGTTTTCCGTATATAGATTATATTGTACCAACACCATCATGGATGAAATACGGTGAACATCACTCTTATGAAGGCTCACGCTGGAGTATATCACACAACGAATGGCTTTGAGATAACACATCTAGAACAAGACGAGAGTTTGATTTAATATAATCTTCACATTGAACATTGATTTTCTGTATTTTGGAGTTTAAAACGTCCTGTAATTATATCAAGATAGCACCTCAGTGTTTCCAAGGGTCTGTCACGTGACGACCACCGTATTTAACACGGCAGACACGTTCGTGATGAAGTAGGGGCATTAGCGTCATTGTTGAAAACGATTTCAAATCTTTTGAAACTATTCTCCTGGGTACAATGGCTCTCATTGGACGAGACGGCCACCGGGTTTGTGTTACATTCGGCATGGCATGAGAGGCAGATACGTCGTCTCATTTTCTGAAATATGAGACATATGCGTTGCATCACAGTCCTTGACCTTGAGATATATGTTTTATTTTCATAATCTTTCACATTTTTGTTATCAATGTTTCATGTGCGTGTATTAACATCCCTGTTCAGGTTCCGACCATATGCTTCAGATTTCAAATTTAATTTTTTGAGTTCCTCATCCGTTCCCTACTCTCCACTGAAGTTAGTGAAGTCTTTACCACAGAGACCGCCTCCGTGGTCTAGTGGAAGAGCGTCCGCCCGGAGAACGGAAGGTCCGGGGTTCGATCCCAAAAGACGTTAAACAATGTACTTGTTGTTACCCTGTCTGGCGCTCGGCATTAAGGGGCTAAAATAAAGACTGGTCGGCTCGGAGTCAGTATACTGTCTGGGATATTCATGTTAAACTGAGGCATAGTACCTCAGTGAGCTAGCATTATTAATCGGCATCAGTCCGGACTAGTACGAGCAGGTATACAGACACACACACACGCACACACACACACACACACACACACACACACACACACACACACACACACACGCACGCACGCACGCACGCACGCACGCACGCACGCACGCAAGCACACACACACACACACACACACACACATCTCTCCAAGCCTTCAATTCACGCATACCTGTCTCTTCTTCAAGGAAGTTGACTGCAGCGCCGTGAGCAATTACCGAGTAGATGGATCATCATTATTATGTACAGATGCAGCAAAGAAAATGCAGCAAAGAGGGTTTGGGTGATCCTGGCACAGTCAGGCTGGTCAGGCTCATCATCAGCTCAGGGCCCATGCCCCCATCTACACGCAGCCCAGACAGCGAAGGGGACTTCTCGAGGGAAGAGCTGCCTAGCAAACCCACCCAGAACTTTTTGGAGAATGTGAAGACTCCCCAACACTGCAGCCTTCTGCATTAACTAAATTGTCAGAAGGGCTGTATTCCTAATAGGAAACCCGGGTACTCTCCCAATGTCAGTCAACAGATTGGAAGGTACCAAACCTAAGGCTTCGAGAACAATGGGGACTCGGACAACTTGGATGCAAGCGTGACATTTCGAAAGCGAGGTCTGCATACATGCCATGTTTTTCCTGAATCTTGTCAATCACATTGGTGTCAAAAGGGACAGAAATTCAGTGATATTAATGATGTCATTGGATTTATCTAAAAGGACAATATTAGGTTTGTTGGCCTGGATGCGTCTAAAGCTGTAAATGCGACTATTCCAAAGAATTTTGTATTGATCATTTTCCATGACGCCCTCTACATATTCCAGGTCGAACAATGGATGGACCTCTGTGTCAAAACCACAAGCATGACGAAGACGGTAATAAAAGGATCGAACTACACCATCATGTCGCTTACGATACTGTACTAAAACTGGGCATCCTCTGACAATGTGTTGGACAGTCGCATTAAATTCATTACATAATCTACATTTCCTATTTACATTTGGATGCAAAATCACACATTGACGGTTTCGAGTTGCAAGTGACAGGCCCTGAGCAGTAAACAGAAAACCTTCTGTTTCACTTTTCAGGCCAGCCGACTTCATCCAAGCGAAGGACTCTGCAGGGTTGCCTACCCTCTCAACACACTACTCATAAACTCGATGCAGTGGTCGTTCCGAAAGCCTCTCCTTGTAGAACTGAGTCTGGGCCGACTTGATATGGCGCTTGGTTGACACTCATTTCTGTACCGTCGAGCAGTACAGAACAATCAACAAAATCAACACCGACATTGATATTATGTCCCACATCCTTGGCTCGTTTTAGAAAACTGTGGAATGCCTTGTTTTCATCATGAGTCTTCACATGCTTCACAAGAGGATCATCAGGCAAATGAATTTGTGGCAAAGTGCACAAAACAATTCTGTCATGGAGAGCCTCCACATTAATCAAACCACGCCCTCCCATCATAATTGGTAAATAAATTTTATATGCGATTGAGGGAACAGCTAGGGTGTCGGGATCTATTGTATGACATGATTCTTCGTGTGAGGGTGTCAATACCCTGAATTTCCTGTTTCGTCCAATTGAACAACACCAAAAGAATTTTAAAGGACCGGTACAGCATAAGTATTTGTGGATTTGACTTTATTGCGAGTGTTCAGCTCTGAACTCCAGATTTTAAGTCTACATTTGTACTCTGCCTGAAGTTTGTCCTTTATATGGGCATTCTGGAGTTTGTCCAAGGTACGTACAGGCCTGACCTTCCATGAGATGGTCAATAACGCCTCTCCCAAGTAAACTGACAGATTCTCCCTCTTCCACCTTGCCACATTTCAAATGAAGAATGTTGCATTTGTCGATATCATTAGAAAAGGACTCGACAAGGAGAATCTGTTCTTTTAAAGTGGATTCTCCTTTGGCAAGAAGTTCCAGGTCATCCATGTAAGGAGATGAGTACTGGAGATCACGTGCTGAGGAGGTCCCGGGTGATTACCTTCCTCTTTGCTACGCAAAAGGCTAAATAGATATAGGGACAAACAGAAAAGCAAAGAACAAAAATAATCGCCCTGAAATATTCCTCTTTTAATAGGAATGGGTTCCGAAGTCACCACCTGCCCCTGCGAATATTTCTCAGGTTTAGTTGACCAGCAATTCATTAAAGACTTGAGTAAAACAAGTAGTCGCACCGGGAGGTCAATACATTCCATTCGTGAGGTACAGAATCGTAAGCTTTTCTGTAGTCACACATTGAGAGGTAATGGTGGGAAGTTTTAGCCTCTTTTCTGAACAAACAATTGATCCTTACAACCCAAACAACCATTTCTGGCTCCTTTCTGCTCCATGTAAATAATGTCATTGGAAGCGCATAATATATAATCGGTAAATATTTTGTACTGTGTCTTCAGACAAATCATAAGGCGGGTGTTTTTAGGGTCAGTCAAATCCAATTTCTTTGGGAGTAGTGTTGTTCGACCTTTGCACAATAAAGCCGGAGCTTCCC